ATATTTAGAAACAAAACTTATTTTCATATTCCAGGGTATTATTTTGCACATGGATATTGTTATTGCTTTTTAGAGTTACAGTTTTAATGAAAAGCATAAAATTAAAAACATTTATATAGATACAGAATTAGTACTACCCATGTATAATGCACATCCTTATTTTTCCCTCAAAACTTTGAGCAAAACAGTATGCATTGTACATGGCAAAATACCATAATGCTCAATAACTATTCTTAGGTTTTCTTATCTTTTTAAAAATATTTTATTTATTTCTATTTTTAGAGAGAAGGGAAAGAGAAAGGGAGAGAAACATTGATGTGTGATTGCCTCTGGCAATCCCCCTTCTGGGGACCTGGCCCACAACCCAGGCATGTGCCCTGACTGGAAATCAAACCAGTGACCCCTTGATTCACAGGCTGGCACTCAACCCACTGACGCACACCAGCCGGGGCTATTCTAAGGGTTTTTATTTATTTATTATTTTTTAACTTTTTTTATTGTTCAAGTACAGTAGTTTCCATTTTTCCTCCTAATATTATTTTTAACAACTCTTTTCCTTTAATTTTTAAAATGGTTTTCAATTCTTTCTTAAAATATTAAAGTATAGTTGTACAATATTATATTGGTTTCAGGTATACAATACAATGATATGACTTCTACTTTACAAAGTGATCACCATGATAGATCTAATGACCATTTGTCACTGTATAAAGTTATTACAGTATTGACTCTAGTCCATATGCCATGCATTATATCTTCATGACTTGTTTATTTTATAACTGGGAATTCATACATCTTTTTTTAAAATATATTTTATTGATTATGCCATTACAGTTGTTCTATTTCCTCCCTTAATTCCCCTCTACCCTGCACACCCCCTCCCCCACCCTTCCCCCCTTTAGCTTATGACCACGTGTCTCAAGTTCTTTAGATTCTATATTTCCCCTACTATTCTTGCCCTCCCCCCTGTCTATTTTCTACCTACCATTTATGCTACTTATTTTCTGTACCTTCTCCCCCCTTCTCCTCCTCCCACTCCCCTGTTGCTAACCCTCCATGTAATCTCCATTTGTATGGTTCACTCTTGATCTAGCTGTCCTCTTAGTTTGCTTTTGTTTTAGGTGTGGTTGTTAATGACTGTGAGTTTGCTGTCCTTTCACTTTTCATCTTTTTTTATCTTCTTTTTCTTAGGTAAGTCCCTTTCACATTTCCTATAATAAGGGCTTGGTGATGATGAACTCCTTGAACTTGATCTTATCTGAGAAGCACTTTATCTGCCCTTCCTTTCTAAGTGAAAGTGTTGCTGGATAGAGCAATCTTGGTTGTAGGTCTTTGGATTTCATGACTTGGAATACTTCTTTCCAGCCCCTTCTTGCCTGTAAGGTCTCTTTTGAGAAATCAGCTGACAGTCTTATGGGAAGTCCTTTGTAGGTGACTGTCCCCTTATCTCTTGCTGCTTCTAGAATTCTCTCTTTCATTTTAATCTTGGCTAATGTAATGATGATGTGCCTTAGTGTGTTCCTTCTTGGGTCCAACTTCTTTGGTACTCTCTGAGCTTCCTGGATTTTCTGGAAGTCTATTGCCTTTGCCAAATTGGGGAAGTTCTCCTTTATTATTTGCTCAAATAAGTTTTCCACTTGTGGCTATTCCTCTTCCCCTTCTGGTACCTCTATAATTCAGATGTTGGAGTGTTTAAAGATGTCCTGGAGGTTCCTAAGCCTCTCCTCATTTTTTTGAATTCTTGTTTCTTCATATTTTTGTTTGGTCATTTTTTCTTCCTTCTGGTCCCCTCCCTTGATTTGAGTCCCAATTTCCTTTCCATCACTACTGCTTTCCTGTGCATTTCCCTTCATTTCAATTAGTTTAGCCTGCATATGTTCCTCTAATTTGGAAATCAACCAGTTCTGTGAGCATCCTGATCACCAGTGTTTTGAACTGTGCTTCCGATAGGTTGGCAATTTCTTGTTCACTTAGATTTATGGGCTCTTCTCAAGCCATGTTTTGATCTGTTCGAGCCTGTTACGTATGAGGAGGGGAGCCTTAGGTGTTCGCCAGGGCAGGGCCACCCAGGTCACTGGTTTGTGATGCTGTATGTGGGGCCGGGGTCAGAGAGGGACAATCGCGATCCCCTCTGCTGCTTTCCACCACTGGGCCCTGCGCGGTCTGTCTCACTGCTCGCTCCTTCCCTGGTTTATCTGCGCAGGAACGTGTGACCACATTCAGCCTGCCGCCTTGTGCCTTCACTTGGTCCGCCTGTTGCTACCCCACACCTGGGATCCATTCTCGGCTGTGTGCCTGGGTCAGGGGATCTTTCCTGCCCAGTGTTGCTCCACTGCTGGCTCCACCCGTCTTACCCATGTGGCTGAAAGGTTCATCGTTGTCGGACTTTCGTACATTTGATTTTCTGTGGTTTGGCTGCATTTTTTGTTGCTAAGTGTTTGTTGTTTTTAAACTTTGTTGTACGAGAAGGCTCAGTGTTTCCACCTATGCCTCCATCTTGGGGAAGTCCTATTCTAAGGGTTTTTTAATTACTCATTTAAATGTTATTCATTTTCATGTGTTTTTGATCCCCCCACTTAGTCTTTTTTTTTTCTTTTTAAAGATTTGTGTATTTTAGAGAGAGGGGAAAGAAGGGAGAGAGGGAAAGAAACGTCAATGTGTGGTTGCCTCTGGTACTCTCCCAGCTGGGGACCTCTCCCCCAGACATGTGCCCTGGTTAGGAACTTAACCACTGACCCTTTGGGTCACAGGCAGGCAGGCACTCAGTGCAATGAGCCACACTACCTGGGGTACCCCCTATTTCAGCCTTGAAATACAATGATTCAACAGAGGAAAAGAAAGGTAAGGTCAACAGTGTTGTTAGAATTAGTTAATATGAGTATTTGATTGAAAGTATATTGACTAGAACTAGCTTGCTATAAGTTAAACTCTATTTTCATAATAGTAATAATAATAATGACAATGAAGCTAGCTGTTTATAACATGTTGAATATTTTAGAAATCATGGTAATAACCCTTAAAAGCTCAAATACACAAAAGTATGTAAAGAGGTATTAGGATAAAAATTTATTAAAAATGTAGAAAGAGATAAACCGCAGACACATTCTAGAAACCTGAACTTCCCAAGGTTGTGAACGTGGACTCAGTGGTTGCTTTCAGCATTCTCCTGATATGATTGGGAACTACTAAAACATGAGGGGAATATGGAAAGAAACCCGCAGACTCTTACAACTCTATGATATTTTTCCAGTTGTTCCATAGATTATTGTATGTGAGAGTTAGGCTTGGCACCGAAAAGAGTGGAACAGAAGATTGATATGTTCTTTTAGCCTTTAATTCTACAAACAGCTCTGGGTTCCCATTTGAGGTTTTTTTTGTTTTTTTTTTTCTGACCGTCCCTCCTTTTTTCCATGTAGCATTTAGAATATCACCTTGTGTTTACATAGTTCCCACTTTTGCAAAGTTAGAGATTCTCTATGAAGTTAGAGACTACAAAGAAATAGGCATATCCAAGCAGTTGAGGAGTTTACTATAGGATGATCACACAATTTACTGAAACTCATCATAGATACTCAGTTTTAAAGCTACTACAGAAACACAAAGGGTATATGACTGTTCAAGGGGGTGGTGATTGTTCTGTATTGTTGCTGTTGGTATAAGTGGAATCCCCTCATTGAAGCTTGCATGTGTAAACTACCAAAACAAACAAACAGACAAACAAACCCCAAAATAGTCCTGGTGAAAATTCACAAATATTTCTGAAATTGGACAAATGTCTTACAACATTGTTCTTAAATTATTTTATGTCATGTGTTAAATTCCTCTATAAATAGATTTCTTCATCTGATCCTTTTATTTGTCACAAAATTCTAAGGCAGCAATTTTCAACTGGTATGCCACAAGAATTTTTAAAACACACAATACCCAACTATTTAGTCAGTAGTACTGACCTCTCTTCCTTTAGATTGTCAAATAAAAAAAAAAGACAACAGCCAACACAAAAATAACTATCTAGTGTGAATGAATCTAAATTATACACTTTTTTTGTCACATGAGCAATAAATATATTTTTGATGTGTCACAGAATTTCAGTAATTAGCTTATGTATGCCATGAGAAGAAAAGGATGGAAAATCAGTGTTCTAAAGGAAAGAGTGTTAGATTGTGATCCGTTTGATTCCTCACCTTTTTGTATCAGTTCACGAAGTTTGGTAAACATTGTTTAGAAAGGGATTATTAGAGATTTCTCAGGAAATAATAGAAATGTAAACTACTTTGCCACACAGATAATGGAAAAGCAGTCTTACTGTGTCATTCACATTTATTTTAGTACCGATCCTTTTGTTAGAAATAGGCAGAAGATCGTGGATTCCAGAAACAATAGTTGTACCCAACCAAAGTGTCTGGGTTTTTATTTAATTCTTGTGAAACCAAAAATATTTGGGACCATGTAATTGAGTCAGTTTTATTGGCAAGTAGAACATGTTGATCTCAGGTTAATAAATTCCAATTAACCATTGATTCAATTATTCAGTAACACACTGAATATGTCATTTTTTTCTCTCCCAATTTTGGAGCAGTTACTGGAGCAGTTGAAGGAAATTTCTATTTTGAAGAACTTTAAGGTCATGAAATCATTTTAGCTTATGTTACAGAGAACAATAGGATATAGGGAAGATGGATTTCCAGAAAGTGGAACCTAGGACCAAGGACCATTGCACAATTTGTGAGTAATAATCTAACTCAACATGTACACACACATATCTATACAATTACAATCATTTTTTTTCAGATGGAGTATCTACTTTATAAATATCCCTTATCTAGAATGTTTTTTTTTTAGCTTCCAGCTTCCAAAAGACTTCTAAATGACTGTGCATCATTGGATTTTAGATTACTTATTTTGATCAACTCATTATTCAGTTTATTGATGATTTTTATATTTTGTGTTTCTTCTTTTTCTCAACTCACTATGTGGTCTCCTCTGGATGGAAAATGAAGATTGCTGTGTCCACTGTATCCTGGCCTGCTTGTTCTGTGAATTCCTGACCCTCTGCAATGTTGTCCTAGGACAAGCTTCATGTGGTATCTGCACCTCGGAAGCATGCTGCTGTTGCTGTGGAGATGAAATGGGGGATGACTGTAACTGCCCTTGTGACATGGATTGTGGCATCATGGATGCCTGTTGCGAATCATCAGACTGTTTGGAAATCTGTATGGAATGCTGCGGAATTTGTTTTCCTTCATAAATATTTATCTTTTGTTTGTGTTAAAACTGGAGAGTTTTTTAAAAAAAATTGTTAAGAATAAAAGCACATGGTAAGATTCTTATGAAGCAAGCAACCAAGTATTTGCTCTATTAATGCATTTAAAGTAATTTCTAAAAGCTTTTCTTTTTCCTCTAACCAAATCTACATGGTTTAATATGTGAAATTTTAATTACTTGTAAACTTCTTAATAGAAAACAGTGACCAAAAGACATTTTGACCAAAAAAAAAGCTAAATATCTCCCCCCTGTCATACATATTTCTGTTTCTTTTAATCATTCACAGGAATTTCTCTCTCCAAATGTATTATTTCTCAGTGGGTACTAAAACCAGACTTTTTTTTTATGTGTATCTATTAATGGTTAACAGTAAACATTTTTACTTTAAACTTTGGGAAACAAATCCAAACAATAGTTGGGCACCCAGTGTTTATCTGCATGCTGGTTTCCACTTTCTCCATTTGTTCAACAGACATTGAGTGCCTACTGTGTACCATCTCTTGCTGAGATGCAGAAATGAATGTCATTCAGTTTTCAGCCACGAGAGGATACATTTTAGCACAGGAGAGAGACCTGCGAAAAATGAACCTTAAGGCATACCAAAGTGAGGATTATGAGAGAGAGACTCAAAAAGTTATAGGAATAAACAGAAAAAAACAGCTAATATCTAAGGAATATTCAGAAGGCTTCAAGCAGAATGTGACATTTGAGGAAGCTTCTTGATTCATCTGCTGCTTGAATGATTATTTAGATTTAGAACAAAGTTTTAGGTGAATAGCATGAACTGTGTGTGCCCTTGAGGAAAGATGCAGTTAAAAGAAAAATGCCATAAGTATGTATTTTCTTTAGTTGTAGGGCTATAGCTTTAAAAAACTATAAAATTTAACTAAAATATTCATTTTACACATAATTTAAAAGTTATAATAAATGTTTAGATAAAAACATAAGGCCTTATAAAACAAGCTATATTTCATAAAGAATGTGAAGTAGTTTTGACAGATTACATTTAAATTAGGAGATTTTTAATGTTATAATACCAATGTTTTGATTTTGTTTTATTCAGAAGTTTTCTTTTTATTTGAGAGCTATGTGTATTGTTTTTTAAGGGGGAGGTTGTATGTTTGTTTTGGTCTGTGTCTGAAGCAATGTTATGTTTTATATACAGTTAATCTTTAATACAAGCCATTACAAACAATGGGAGTCTCGACATGCACTACTGTGACCAGATTTTAGTGTTGCAATTTTATGATAAATTGAACTAATATGATATGTTATAAAACCTTAAGTGTACAAAAATAAGTCAATGATAAAACTAACTATACAGTTATTGAGATAGAGACTTTGTGTTGCACGGATAAAAGGAAGAGGAAATTTTCACTCTATGTACTCTCCTAAGTTTGATCTTCCCAGAGTTGTAGTTTGGTTGGATTTAATGTAATGTCTTATGGAAATGTTGAAAATATACTTTAGATTAATAGTTACTTTCAGTTTTTCTGGTTGAAAATCAAATCACTTATAAAAACAAATGTATTTTTTTAGGAAGCTTTTAGCAAACCTAGCCTTTTAAGAGAGGTTTTAAATGTAAAGCATGACAATACCAGCTATGTTTTCTCCTTTAAGATGAAACCTAGTTACTACTTATACCTTTACTTAAAGGGCTTTAAAAAAATTAGCAAATTCTTGAATCCCCTGTTTACACACATACACACACAACTTTAAATGTTCTGGTTTAAATAGAATTCTAGTAAACATCTGTCTTTCTCTTGTCTAAAGAATGTGTTTCGATTGCTACATCAAATATAAGAACATCTTTGTACTATTTCTTACTAACCAGAATCTGAATATTTACCTATACCCAGCATTACCTTAGGCATAGATATTAGGAAGTAAAACTGTCATCCGTGTATTGACATATAAAGCCTTCTAATGGATCTGAAATTCTTAAACTATTTTGCTTTTTATCCTGAAAAAAATTTCAACTAAATGGTTTGTCTAATATTTAAATATATTCTGCTACTGTTCATAATAAAAATATTAGCACTTTTAAATAATATTTTTCTGTAAGAGAGAACACTAACAGAATTCTTCATATTTGTACCCATAGTACTTTTCCTCTATTGTCTACTTTGCAGTCATTCCATAAAAAAACCTTGTATTATTTTTTAAAATTAAAGTAGGCAAATGTGAAAATAGTTACAATATATTTTAGAATTTTTGTATGTAAAATGTTTTGTTGAATTATATGGCCATCTTGACTAAGTGCTATAGTTTAGAGTTATAGATTTGGTCTCTTTTTAAATATGGAAACTTAATCTTAAATATTTTTAAACTCAACCTGTATTATCCTGAATATATTATTTTGAAATAATAAAAAATGACCTCTCGTGCTTCAGAATATTTTCTTTTTCTTTTTTTAATTTTATTTATTTATCTTTAGAGGGGAAGGAGAGAGGGAGAGTAACATCAATGTATGGTTGCCTCTTGTGTGTCCCCTGCTGGGAACTGGCCTGCAGGAAACCGGCCAGCAACCCAGGCATGTGCCCTGACTGGGAATCGAACCGTGGTTGCTTGATTCCCAGGCCCGCGCTCAATCCACTGAGCTACACCAGCCAGGAGAATATTTTCTATATACATACTATGTCACTGATACTTGAAAAAATTCAACTATTAATTTGAAAAATTCAACTATTAATTTGAACTATTCATTGAATAGCCTCAATTTTAAAACCTGAGGCTTTTATCTTGTTACTTTTCTTTTTGAAGTTTTTCTAGGTTCCTTATATAAATCACATGACTCAACATACATAATAAACTTGAAAGATTCAGACTAGTTTATATTGCAAATCACAGTTGACAGGATTTCAAAGCAAAATATTTTCTTAAATGTTCATAATAAGTCAAAATTTAAGTTTGTACCTTTTTTTAAGCAACTTGTTTTCATTTCTTTGCTTTGGAATTATCTCCCAAGTTGTAAAAATTAAGGTAATTGAGAAAAAAAAATTTTACTGATTATGCTATTACAGTTGTCCCAATTTTTCCCATTTTGCCCCCCTTCCACCCAGTATCCCCCTTCCCTCGATTAGTCCACTGTCCTTTAGTTCATGTCCATGGGTCATGCATATAAGTTTTTCAGCTTCTCTATTTCCTATACTGTTCTTAACACACCCCCTGTCTATTTTGTACCTACCAATTATTCTTCTTATTCCCTGCACCTTTTCTCCCATTCTCCCCTTTACCCCTCCCAGCTGATAACCCTCCAAATGATTTCTATATCTATGATTCTGTTCCAGTTCTGATTGTTTGCTTAGTTTTTTTGTAATTTTTATTCAGTTGTTGATAGTTGTGAATTGGTTGCCATTTTAATGTTCATAGTTTTGATCTTTCTCTTAAATAAATCCCTTTAACATTTTATGTAATAACAGCTTGGTGGTGATGAACTCCTTTAGCTGTACCATGTTTTGGAGGCACTTTATCTACCCTCCCATTCTAAATGATAGCTTTGCTGGATAGAGTAATCTAGGTTGTGGGTCCTTGCTTTTCATCACTTTGAATACTTTTTGCCAGTCCCTTTTTGCTTGCAAAGTTTCTTTTGAGAAATCAGCTGAAAGTCTTATGGAAACTCCTTTGTAGGTAACTCTTCTTTTCTCTTGCTGCTTTTAAGATTCTTTATCTTCAACCTTTGGCATTTTAATTATGATGTGTGTTAGTGTGGTCCTCTTTGGGTCCAAGTTGTTTGGGACTCTGTGCTTTCTGGACTTGCATGTCTATTTCTTTCACCAAAGCAGGGAAGTTTTCTTTCATTATTTTTTTCAAATAAACTTCCAGTTTCTTGCTATTCCTCTTCTCCTCCTGGCATTCCTGTGATTCAGATGTTGGTATCTTTGAAGATGTCTGAGAGGCTCTTTACGCTATCCTCATTTTTTTACATTTTTTCTTGCTCTCTGGTTGAATGCTTATTTCTTCCTTATGTTCCAAATTATTGATTTGAATCCTTGCTTCATCCCAACTGTTGGTTTCCTGTAGATTTTTCTTTATTTCACTTAGTGGAAACTTTATTTCTTCCTGGGTCTTTTTTATCTGTTGCTGGACTCCGTGAGCATCCTGATTATCAGTGTTTTGAACTCTGCATCTGATAAGTTGGTTATCTCTATTTCAATTTAGGTCTTTTGGGGGGGTTTGTTCTGTTCTTTCATTTGGGCTATATGTCTTTGTCTCCTCAATTTGTCATCCTCCCTGTGTTTGTCTCTGTGGTTAGGTAGAGCTGCTTTGAGTCTCTGTCTTAGCAGCATGGCCTATTGTAGAAAGAGCAGCTGTAAATTGTGTAGGGTGGAGCATTAGGTAATTACAAGGACGAGGCAAACCGCTTCACCACTTCAGCCACTTTGTGGCTGTCTGTGGGAGGTAAGGCTCAGACAGGGAACAGTGCCACTGCCTGGCTTCTGGAGGTTTGCTCAGCACTCACCCCATTTCCATTCACTTCACCAAACTGTACATAAGAAACTGGAGCCCTTCCAGCGGCTGCCCTGGTACTGAATCCAAGAGTGTGTGGGTTCGTGTGTGTTCTAAGACTTTGCAGTGCCCTTTAAGAGGGGCCTCCTTAAAATCTGGCAGTTCCTTTTCCCACCCCAATCCTTACTGGTTTTTACAGCCAGAAGTTATAAGGATTTATCTTCCCAGCCCTAGAACCCTGGGCTGTACAGTCTGGCCTGGGGCTAGGATTGATGGCTCCCAAGATATCCCTCCCAGGTTTTATCCATTACAGTGAATGCGGGACTGCTTATTTTGCCACTGCCATCACCTCACCATGCCACCCCACATTCCCTTGCCTCTCTGCCTGTCTCCACATCTCATCTCCTACTCATCTGGATGAATCCTTCTTCAAATCCTTGGTTGTCAGATCTCTATACAGTTCAATTTTCTGGCAGTTTTGGGCATTATTTTGAGGTTTAATTGTAAATCTCTGTGGTTGTGTGAAGAGGTAAAGTGTGTCTACCTATGCCTTCATCTTGTCCAGAAGTCCATGGTAATTTTTTATGCATCATAAATTAAACATGAACAATATGAAATTAGATATTAGATTTAATAAATTTCACCCAAAGGCAAGTCGTCATTAGTATTTTCATCTAGGCTTTTTATTTGACACAATTTTTAAGTAGCAGGAAAGTTTTTATAGTTAGCATTTAATCCATTCCATCACTTTAGAAGTTTTTGATTTTTAAATGTAATAATTTCATTTTTTTTGTTTTTTACAGTATATTAACTATATCCAATTTTCTCACCTAAAGTAGTCAGTGTTTCTCTGAACAGTTCAAGGAGTAACCAAGGCAACCTTATGTAATAAAATTCCATTCTTTATCTATACAAACTATCAGTGCCCTAGATTCCAATGCTATAAATGTCAAAGTCATTTCCTAACTTAAATAAGACTCAAGTCCAGAGGCTTTGTGGTATACCCTCTTGAATTCCAATTCTAATGCTTTGATTTACCCAACCACCTAATGAATGTTTATTTATTAATAAGGTTATTTTTTCAAATTATTCAAGACTTTATGCCCTTTCCAATTACTTGTGATTTGTGGGCCTGTAGTTTTGTTACATTTAATCTGACAGGCAAGGTAAAATTTTATCAAATACTAAAATAGCATTTTTCTCTTTTACACTAATGTAATAAAGCATACCACTTTTTGTTTTCAAAGGTGGTTAAGATATTAATAGGTTTATTCCACAAAATATTTTTAAGTCGAAGATTAGGTACTACAAAAGGAGTCCTTTTTACCATTTTTATGCCCCACTATAACTGGTAACTTTAGCGACTTTTCTCTAGGTACCTCAAAAGAGTCATATAACACTCAAGAAGTTTCAACCTAGGAAAGAAGTTTGGCACTTCCCATGAGAAAAATCTTAGTTTCAACAGTGACACTACTCATATTTACTTGCTTATTTAAGATTGCTTGTAGAGATTTTGTTTAAAATGGAAAGGGTTGTGGAAAAGGGGTGACATTGTTATATAGCCCTTATGTGGAGGGTGGTTTTTGCAAAAACTATCATTTGATAATAAATAAATAAGTAAATAAATAAATAAATTCACATTGCAAAATTCCTAATGAATAATAGTCATTTCCTCTGCTTTAAATGACTGGAAATTAAAATATTATATAAGAAATCAAATTTTAATTAACACTCAATCTGGAGGTGAAAAAGAATTATAAGAAAAATCATAGCCAAGCCCCAGCTAGAAAGCAGGATCTCTAGGGAAGCAAAAATCTGTACCATCCCATTCTTCATAGAACTTGAACAATAGTGTAACATTTCCCACTGGGGCTACAACTATACCTCCCAACCTGCCAGATGTCAACATGTGAGTAGTTTCCTGTTTTCCAACTGACTTGGCTAGTAGTTGTAGTTCCATTTTTTTGACCTTTGTTTATGACCTCAGTGCTCACTAAAGGATTCCTGAATTTTGTTGTGAAGTTACCATGAAGGAATAATTTTAGATACCATCCTTTAGCGCATTACCAATATGGGGTACAGATATATATGTTAAAAATAAAATATAGCTCTGCAATTAAGTGTTCACTTCCAGGTAGATCTTTGTGTGAGTTTCAGTTGAGAATGTATTTTTTAGGAAAATAGTGAAAAGCAAATTCAAACAAATTCTAAGTTTAGCTTGAAAAATTGAAAAGGTTCTTAAGTTCTGTCTGATGCATAAAGGGATAGAAGCAAAGGAATTACATTCCAAAGCCAAGAAAGAGAGTGTACAAAAGCAGTTGATTCACTTGACATAGTTCATAGCCTTTCACAAAAGAATAAAAGCCTGTTGAGCAGGGAACCAAAGGATCTCATTATAGGATGAAGCAAAGCCATATTAAAGCTTGTGCACTAGTAACTATGTCTAAAAACAGCCTGCTGTTTTATATTGAACCCATACATTTCTTAACTTGGTAGGTCGCTGTGTAAAGAGGTACAGAGCCTATCTGCTGGATGCTATGCCAATTACAGATGTGGTAGAGTAGTGTCAAACACCTGCAAATAGGATTTCAAGCAATCTACGGTGAAACAAAAGTTTTAAAATGTCATCTCAAAACCTAGAAAGCACAGTTCATCCTGTGTGTCTGACTTTTAGAGTCCTGAGATCACCTTTATTATATAATTTAATGTGTATGCCTCAATCAGAATGCACAGTTCTTTCAAGGAATGAATAGTGGCTGTGAGATAAGGAGAATATCTTTCAAAAGTAAAAACTTTAGATGACAAGGCATCTGTGATCAGCTCTGCAGAAATTGTATTTTATTGGCATTGAGGTGAAGGAGGAGGAAAATACACATGAATACATATTGTATTGGATGTATTCATCCAATATTTCTGTTGATTTTGTTAGATCAACA